TGGTACACCCTGGTACACCCTGGTACACCCTGGTACACCCTGGTACACCCTGGTACACCCTGGTACAGGTGCTGCTGGTGTTTGTCGAGCAGCTTAGCTTCAGTTAGCTTCTGGTTTGTTGACGATTAAATGCACATTCAGACATTTTAATCAAACTCAGATGTGAAAGTGGTTCCAGACCTCAAAAGTTAATTTTTTTATTTGAATGTTTTTATCCTTATTTTACAACTTTCAGGCCAATTTATTCTTTCCTACATTTCTGTTCACACACACGCACACACTCAGAACTTAAGGCCAGTTCACCTCCATTCATTGGATGTTTTTTATCGTCTCCTTCAGTTAGAGATTGTCGGCTGTTCCTGGAACGCTGCTCCCTGCAGGTGAGCTGCTGTTCACCAGCCACACACATGCTTTTCCTCAGCTGTAAATTTTATGGCTAATTTCTGATGTGGTCACAGATTTAAAGTCTAAACTGAGTGAGGCAGCAGCAGCTGAAGGTAATGAAAAACTCTCTCTCTCTGTCTCTCTGTCTCTCTCTCCCTCACTCCCTCACACTTACTACACTGTAGGACTGACTCCCAGCTCCAGTGACAGCTCCATTAGAACTTTATCTTCTTTGTCTTTTTTTAAAATGAAGCGTAACCAGACATGAAACGTAAAAATAAAACTTAGGTCTGGACTATAAATATCACTCTAAGTTACTATTGTAAAAAGACAGTCGATCACGTGACACCAATTAGCCAATTAAATTAGCTCATTTAAAAAATAGCTGTCAGTAACTGAGAAAGATGGTACAGAGAGAAGCAGGAAGGAAGTGGTCCTGGTGGTCCTGGTGGTCCTGGTGGTCCTGGTGGTCCTGGTGGTGCTGGTGGTGCTGGTGGTCCTGGTCTAAAGCTCACAGTCCAGTCCTGTTCAAGACTCTGAACTAAGTACTCATCGAGTAGCTCTCTCCTCCAGTTCTGGTGTAGGTTCTGTCCTGGTCTCTGTGAGGTTCTGCACTCCCAGTACCCTCTCTCTGACACTGCTCTGGGGTGACGTCCCAGCATGCACTCCTGTTGCTCACTTAACTGCAGCCAAACCAACTCATTAGTGAAACAAACTCACACAAACACAACAGCAGCATTTGGGTAAGTGTGTGTGTGTGTGTGTGTGTGTGTGTGTGTGTGTGTGTGAGAGAGAGAGAGCAGGATTTGTCATCACAGGCTCAGAATGCTTTATATATTTTTTTAATATCTCTCCTCTTTATTCCAAATACCTGTAACATTTTCCGATTTGCTAATATTTTCCATCATATTTTCCCACATTTGCTAAAAACCACGTCCAACACATTATTCAGCCTTCGCTCGCACAAGATTTATTCAAATGAGTGCCCTCGCTTTGAACGTGCCTATTGACGTGAGTGAAGTCAAGTGTGTGTGTGTGTGGTGTGTGGTGGGGGGTGGGGGGAGTGGTTATGACATATTTCAAAGTTTAATAAGTTCTACTCAGAGCGAGTAGTTTTTTTTTCCTGTGGCTTGAATTCTGTCAGCCGATACAGAAGTGATTGAAAAATCTCCTCCTTTTATTGGTCTATGATAAACAGATGGCACTGAAGTGTCACTAAGCTAACTTCTTCCACTTCCTGTCTCATTAACATCAGATAAAAATGTAGTGGTAAGGCTGCACAGTTGACTGTTCCTGTCTACATTAAGAATTTACTGCTGCTATTTTAGACTAACAACCAGGCAGTAAATCTGACGGAGGAGAACACAGTGGAGGGGAAAGCTGCAGGCTAAAACCTGGCCTCTGGCTCATTATGACCAGCCAGTTAGCTGGTGTTTCTCGTTACCCCCACTAGATCCCCCACCCCCTCCCACCAGATGCCTGATTGTGTGAAGTAATTCTGCACTAGGCTGCATTTTATTTGAACCTTTTCCTCTTGTAGATCTTTACCAGCCAGTGTTCAGTGTTGTAAATCTCACAGTCTGTGGCGGTACTCCAGGGTCTGGCACCAGTTGGGTCTGATGTTGATTGTCAAACCACCAAATGAGAGCTGACATGGAAAAACATAGACCTTCTTAGATTGACCTGCAGCTTTTTTCATCTATGTTTTCTTCGAAGTTCTGGATGGTTCAGTTTCCTCAGTCACTGCTCCTGACGTCAGCAGAGTCCGACTGCAAATACCTGCTGCATAAGGTCATCACACAAATAAAAGCACACATTGGAGTCATAAAATGATTTGGTTCTCTGCATAATGTTAGTTTTTAATAATGACCAAGATGCCGAGTTGAAACACCTTAAAACTTTATGGAGGCTTTCTGGAGTTTCAGAGAAGGTTTGTTAAAATTTGTGGAAAAATTGCATCATCTGGGTTATTCTGGGTCAACTTCATGGTCCAGACCATCCTGGTCAGATACCTGTCGCTAATTGCAAACACAAGGCACCTTGCTCCAAAGTCCATCAAGGAAAACAATGATTTTAGCTCACATAGACAGAGGGAATGCTGCCTCTCTGTTGGTTGGATCAGGAACTGCTGTGTATCTGTGAGATAAATCATTATCCCATAATCAGACTTTGGTCTGAACTAAAATCACTGATTTTCTCTATGGACTTTGGTCTGAACTAAAATCACTGATTTTCTCTGTGGACTTCAGTTAGTATCAGTGACTGTTTTTTTGCGTGTTCCCAGTTGTAGCTTCTCCTTCATGTCACTCATAGACGGTGGTCTCTGTGTCCAGACAGCTTTTTGGCTGCAGCCCTAACTTTGTTTCTTTATTCAGCAACCAATAATCGGGGCAGCATCCACCATGATAATGGTGTTTGTTTGCAGAATGAATCAATGAATTAAAAGACTGGAGGTTTGTGGTTGACCACGCAGCAACATTCTCATCTTCAAACTCCACCCTCAGGAAAGTTCTGGTTTCTAGGCTCCAACACGGATGTAGATTCCTCCACTTCTTCTTGTCTGGCAGAAAAAAAACAAAAACAAAAATGTCCAACTGTAACAGCTTTCTAATTAAATTCACCCACCGTCACAATGAAGGTTGTGTACACAGGAAAGAATTTAAGTCCTGAACAATAGGAAGCTGGACGTCGG